CCTGCGGGTGTTGACTCAATGTGATTTCTGCCCAGTGCTCTGAATGTCAACGTGACGAAATTCAAGCAAGCGCGGGTAAACGGCGGGAGTAACTATGACTCTCTTGGCGGTCAAAGGTTCCTGACCTCCACGCGGTGACTGCTGGGCAACGCTCATCCACCCGCCTTACCTCTGGTTAGGCATTTGAACGAGGATGACGGCTAACTAGGAACCAGCCCCCCGATTACCCGGTCGGGGCCTGTCTGCGGACAGTCATAAGGGGTCGGTATGGAAACCGAGGGCGAGATACAGACCACCTTGTATCTTACCCCTTAGGGGAAGACATGCACTTGGCCCAGCCAGCCAAGTTGCATAGGATTACAGGCTACTACTCAAAGAAACATAGCCTCGGAAGATCGGGGTGGTGACGGGCCCACACCATCCCAGAATCCTAGACCAGGGGCCCATGATGATGGAAATGGCGATGACAAGGACATTGAGATTTTGCTCCCCTATATCGAGAGGTCATGCCCCCTATGCCTCAAAAGAAGCATTAACATCCTGCACATGACCTTAAACGATGAAATAAAACATGTAAAATCAGATCACAAGGATATACAAATTAGATTCAAATGCAGGATGTGCTCAAAAATGTATATAGCGAAACATGCGGCACTGTGTCACGTCCCCAAGTGCCCGGTGGGAGCTGCTGCGGCAGCCCCACCACCAGAGTCAACAGACTCAGAGACTGACGGAGTACCAAGTAACCGGCCTATACCCGAATCGGTAGGCGTGGCCTGCCCCGATTGCGGCGAAAGGTACTCCGGCCGCAGTGCACTAGCACAGCACCAGCGGCACCGGCATCCACTCACCCGAAACGAAGCTAGGGCAGCCGGTACACGGCGGTCTCCTCGACAAAGAAGATTGGTTATCTTTACTGAAGAGGAGGAACAAATAATGATGGAGTGCGAACTCCGGTACCGGGGTGAGTTGCGTATAGCAATGCGCATGCGGGAGTTGATACCAGAGAAAACCTTGAAACAACTCCGGGACAAAAGGGCCCAAAAATGCTACAAAGAACGGCGTGAAAGGTACCTCGCAGAAAGAGGGATCGCAGCGAGCGCTAGTACTGATGATGTCAGTACCGAACCAGTATCTACAGACACAGGGGATGGTAGAGCTACCGTCCCCCAAGAAGAAGCGCCCGAAACCAACAGCTGCGAGGAAGCGGGAGTAAGGGGTGGCTCCCCTATCCCAGTCCCGGAGCTACTCGACGTATCAGCAGTAGCTGCCATTGCAGGGGGTGAAAATAACGTTAATAATATCACACCCACCGCCGAAAACACAAGTCCGACTCAGACGCCTGACATGTCAGAGAGGGTACTGAATGTCAGTGAAGATGAGTTGGTATCGCCAGCAGCTTCTCCAGAAGAGATACATTGGAGACAAGATGTTGCTCAGACTGCCCAAGATGTTGCTCAGACTGCCCGTAGTTGCAAGTTGACTCGAGCGGCAACACCTGGAGGTGAACACGGTCACCCAGCTGCTTAGAAATGCAATCTCCGAGGCTTGCGATTTGCCTATGGGCAGCCCCAATCGCAAATAGATACTTTACATGATAGAGTCACCGCTCTCTTCGTCAGCGAGGAGCGGGGAGTTGCAGGGCGACGAAAGGGAAGGCGTAGAGGACAAAATAAGAGGGGTAACAGACGGTACCTCTACGCCCGTACCAGGATATTTACAAAAAAGAGCCAGGCATTCTTGTCAAGCACGTCCGTAACAACGTGGACTGGCTGGAGGAACCAGGGGTAAAAGCTCCAGCCCAAGACGTGCGGGACCTGTACAAAAAGCTTTTAGGCACAAATCCGTCTGAAGTACAGGTGCCCTTCCTGGGAGAGCCCTCCGAACCGGCACTTGGGTTAGGTACTGTGCTAACCGCCGTGACGGCGAAAGAGGTGAACACGCGTCTCTCTCGGATGAAAATGTCCACAGCACCGGGTCCCGATGGCATTAAAAAGGGAGACATTAAACGCGTTCCTGGTGCAAACGAAGTCCTCCAGTTATTTTTCAATTTAATCATGATAAGCGGTAAGATTCCTACCGCCTGGAGGAAGAACCGAACTACTTTGATCCCTAAAGAGGGTAAGGACGGTATGTTAGCTGAAAACTACCGTCCAATTACAATCTCTTCATTAATGTCGAGAATTTATTTTGGCATTATTGACAGCAAACTTAGGGCAAAAGCACGGTTCTCACCCAGACAAAAGGGCTTCATGAACGAATCTGGGTGCTTCAACAACATCCACATCCTCAATGAGCTGCTGAGGCACTCAAAAGCCAAGAATGGCCTGGTTGTAACGCAGCTGGACGTGTCCAAAGCATTTGATACCGTGCCGCACCAAGCTATAGGACACGCGTTACGTCACAAAGGTTTTCCCGAACAGGTGGTACGTATCGTGGAAAACGCATATGAGGATGTAACCACTATTATAGAACTCAATCAGGCGCCAATCGAGATACGCCTCCAGCGGGGGGTCAAGCAAGGTGACCCCCTCAGCCCATTACTATTTAATCTAGTTTTGGAGCCCTTGCTAGATAAGCTGGAAACGAGACCTGGTTACAGAATCGACACAGAGACGCAGATATCGTCCTTAGCATTTGCCGACGATCTGCTCCTAGTCGCGCAAACGGTACCACATGCTAAGGACCAGTTAAGTAACACGGAAGCATACCTATCGAGTCTAGGTATGAAGATTGCTGCCAATAAATGCCGCACCTTCCGTGTAAACCGTACCAAAGACTCCTGGTACTTAACTGACCCAGGCCTCGAACTCGACAGTGGAGAAGTGATACCGGTAGCGGGGGCCGGCGATCACCTTGTCTACCTTGGATGCAAGTTGTCTCCCTGGGTTGGGGTCACAACCGAGGGCATACGAGCCGACCTTGCTTCAACTCTTAGTCGTGTGCAACGACTGAAGTTGAAACCGCATCAAAAGGTAGACTTAATCTCTACTTACATTGTTCCTCACTACCTGTATCAGTTGTCCATAGCGATGCCGGCTATGACACAGATAAAACTGATGGACCAGGAGCTACGGGTAGTGGTGAAGAATATTCTTCACCTGCCGCAGGCAACAACGAACGCCTTACTATACTGCGGTAAGAGGGACGGGGGACTTGCGATCCCGAGGTTGGAGTGGCTCGCCACCTCATCAGCCCTAAAAGCCGGCTTAAAGTTCGTGGACAACCCCGACCCGGCAATGCAAGCTCTTGCCACGGGCACTAAGCTCGAGAGTAGAGTGAGGCGACTCGCTCTCGATGCCCGGATAGCTTGGCCAGTTACTGGGGAGCAACTGGCCAGCTATACTAGAACGCAAAAGAAGGCTGAGCTTGCCAGATGGAAGCGCCTTGGTTCTCAAGGAAAGTCGGCAGCGGCCTTCGCCGACTCCAAGATCGGAAACGCATGGCTTAGGGACCCCTCGTTGCTCAAGCCATGTCGTATGATTACAGCCCTCAAGATGAGAACCAACTCATGTGCTGACAGGGCGGCCATGAGCAGAGCGACCAGAATACCGGATCCTTCATGCAGGCAATGTGGTTCGCAAATTGAGACATTGGGGACACATATTGGGGCAATGTCGTCACACGAAACCACATAGGATTCGAAGGCACGATGAGATCAAAAACCTCATCGTGGAAGAACTTAAAAAGAAAGGCCCAGAGGTGGCAATAACGGTTGAACCGACGGTGGCGGCAACCGGAGGCGGGAATCTCAAACCTGACCTGGTAATACAAAGCCGGGGAAGGGTCTCGTGGTCGATGTTACAGTCCGCCACGAAGACGGGAATAATCTCGCTCAAGGGTTTACAAGCAAAGTAGAAAAATATAGCCGCTTGCTACCTCAATTCCAGCAGAGGTGGGCAGCTTGCTCTGCTGAAGTCCTACCAGTCGTGGTAGGAACTAGAGGGGCGATGCCAGGGAGACCATCAAAAACCTAACTAAGTTAGGAATCTCTCAAAATAACGTGCTTTTAACAATGTCGTTAATAGCACTTCGTAGTTCCATCGAAATATACCATGAATTCATGGACTACGACGCCCCTCGGACGCGCCGCGGCGCGCAACCCCACAGGTGATTCAGCAACTTGTGGGAAAAACTTCTGGCCATTTTAGCCCTACTGCACTTTATTTTAATTGTGGCGTCTGATTTTATGCTTTGATATTATTATTATATTTATTTATCTATTTATTTATGCATTTTATCTGTGATGTCCAGCTCCGGCTTATTTTAAAATGTTCTCAACTCACCCTATTGGTGACCACCCCTATTGGTGGAGAGTGGGATTGGTGTTGTGCAGTAGGTGCGAGTCGTAAGAGGCCTTCCAGGAAAAGGCTAGTCACGGCGGCGGGGTGTGATCTGGATTGAGCTAAGCAATCCATCACCGGCGACAGCCTCTACGAGGCCTTCCCCATCAACTGTTGGGGGTCCGCCCTCACAGAGGGTCCCCCTCAGGCCGATAGTCGCTTTCTCTAATCTTGAGGACCCGTTCACCTAATTTTTCCGAAAAAGCCAAAGATCAGGGTTCCGGCAATAAGTTAGGTTTCTCCTCCCGTGGGAGGACTCTGGCCAGGAGTGCTAGATAGTTGGGCCGAAAGCGAGGTAAATTGAGGAGCGTGCAAAGAAAGGACCCTCGGGGTTTCCTGATCTGGGTCTTAGCCGCCCCTAACCATTCGTGTGGTATCGAGGACCGCCTCACACGTAGGAAAGTACTCTCACTGCAGATGAGAGCAGAAATAGCCAAATGCCTCGTCATCTAATTAGTGACGCGCATGAATGGATTAACGAGATTCCCACTGTCCCTACCCACTATCTAGCGAAACCACTGCCAAGGGAACGGGCTTGGAAAAATTACCACCTGACCAAAAAACTGCCGTTCGGATTGGTGGTGGCAGCAGCGCGTACGGAGCGAGTTGGAGTGCAGAAAGCGACGAAGCTCGAAACGTATTGGAGACGATTCAACAATGATTGGTGAAGCTCTCGAAGTGGGTTCAGATTCTCGCTATCAGTGCTCGACTTCACGTACAATTGCTAGTGGAGTTGAGACAGTCAGGCAGACCACTGAGGGGCCGGAACGCAGTTCTCCTGGAAACTCTGAGTCTCCCACCGACTCGGGCTCCGGAGACCCATGCGAGGCCGCACTAACTACTATCACATTTAAGCACCCTGCGGAGAGTACAATTGCTCGCTATGCGCTCGCGCAGTGGAGGTTATGCAGTCTTCCTAAGCGCGAAAGACGCTAAAACGCACGTATCAGAGACGCACCCAGAAGTAACAACGTACTGGGAATGTCCGCACTGTGACAGAAAGGCACGACCACATCGGAATTTCGAACCATATTCGATCATGCCGACCACTAGGTCGTCCCGCAGAAACTGGTTATACGTGCGAAGCCTGCTCCTCATCATTCCCTACCAAAGTTGGCCTATCGATGCATGAACGGCATGCTCACCCAGCAATCAGAAACCAGAAGCGGTTAGCTGACGCAGCCGCTCCCAGGAAGACGAATGCTGGCGTCAGGCCAAAGATTTGGTCAGAGGAAGAGGAGCAGAAACTGCGCCAACTAAACCAAGAGTATGCGGGACAAAGACACATTAACAAGCTCTTGATGTCGCAGTTCAGCGACAAGCGTCGTCTGCTTGGCCTGATTGAACCGGCGAACGGGCCAGCGTCTCGAACGAGTGACAGAGCAGTACCCCCTCACTTGGAAATCAGACAACAAAGCTGCAAAAGAATCGCCAATAAATAAGATCTTGAAGCCTCAGGTGAAAGTACAGAAATCGTATGACGACGAAGAGAAGAGATGGAGGCAGTGTATGATAGCTTCGGCGACCAGAACACTTGCCAAACACCATGACGAGATGGCGAAGGACGCTAAAATACAGCCTTTGGCAGTCAGGTTAACTGCAATTGCGGGGAGCCTTCGATCTGCTGAAGATGTCATCAGCGTATCTGACCCACTCGTAAAACAACTCGAAAACGTCGTCAACGAACTCACCGTCGAGTTAGCGGGAGGCAAACCCAATCTGTCCCGAAATTAACCCGATACAGCTCGGGACGGTAGAAAAAAGATACCGACGCCTGAAACGCACACTGCTGCGGGGCCAGGCAAAGTGGCTAAGAAGGACATACGCCGAACAGCGCGCATTCTTCTGACTGCGATCTTTAATATCTGCTTGGGGATTGGGTTTTACCCCGAATCCTGGAAACGTAACAGAACAACGCTGATCCCAAAAGATGGCAAGGATCTGACAGTGGCAGCCAGCTGGCGGCCGATTACTGTCAGCTCAATCCTAGCCAGACTGTTCTCGGGGGTGATCGATGAATCTCTTAGGGGAAACATCGAGCTAAGCCGAGCACAAAAAGGATTCACGCATGACGAGGGAGCGGCTCAGAACGTCTCCCTCTTTCGCCAAACGTTGAAAGCGATGAAGGAGGAACAGGGTGGAACTTGTTCCATACTTGAAATTTCCAAAGCCTTCGACACAGTGCCACATGGTGCATTAGTACCGGCGCTCAGAAGGCTTGGAGTGGCCCCTTATATCGCTGAATACGTCGATTACGTATACCAGGATTGTCAGACGGTCTTACCATCTACGACCGAAGAAATAAAGATCAGTCTGAAGAGAGGCGTGAAGCAAGGCGATCCTCTTAGCCCACTTCTTTGGAACGCAGTCGTCGACCCATTATTGACATACCTCGATCAGCGGGAAGGAAAGGGAATTGTCCTGGGAGGACGCAATGTGTCGGTCCTGGCGTTCGCGGATGATCTGATTCTTATCAGTAAATCTGAAGGGGACGCCGTAGAGGACATCGAACTTGTGTCTGAATATTTCAGCGCCCTAGGCATGAACCTCTCGATAGCCAAGTGTAGCGCGTTCACGGTTAAACCGCTACATAAAACTTGGGCTATCGTGGACCCCAAGCTTAAGATCAAAGATCAGGAAGTCAATTATGTGGACCCAGACGAAGCGATCTGTTACCTCGGTGTCAGTTTCACTCCTTGGAAAGGAGGAATTTCTAGCAAAGACAACGCGAAGGAATTCGTTTCTTCTGCTGCAAAACGGGCGGCAAGACTTAGTCTCAAGCCCGAACAGAAACTGAAGCTGATATTCGAGTATGTGTATCCCAGATACAGGTACGGAATGGTGC